GCCTGGATTCTACCAAGCGCTCCAACTCTGCTCGCTGCCCCAAGAACTTTGAAGCGGGGGGCGGGGACAACAGAGATCTCGTTTCTCTGGTAACCCAACCGATTCCGCCATGCCGAGCGTTCTCTCACCCCACCCAACTCTGCCTCCTTCGCCCACGTCCTCTGCCAACGCAGCCCCGCCCCGCTCCGCCCAGCCGCCACGTGCTGCTGCTTCACCTACTCACACTGCCTAAGCCTGGCGCGCGCCACTCCGTCTCCCGGGGATCCTGGAGCTTCGCTTCATTCGTCGCAAAACTCCTACGCTCCTCGCGCTCTGGTGAGGAGGAGCGAAACTTTCGAGCGCCGACTTCGGCTTTGCTGACGGCATCTGCCCAGTCCAAAGAGCACCCGGGCAGGCACTAGAAGGAGGCGGGCCCCTGCGGGGGTTGGACTGCCAGGATTCTCCATATTAGATCGATGGAGGCGTCTCGTTCCTCTCCTCCCCCTTTTAGTTCCTGGAAGGAGTGCGCGGAGAAAGGAGCGGGATGGCATAACTAGACGGGCAAGTCTTCAGAGGTGCAGTGATCGCTCGCAACGTTTCTTGTACAGTAATGTAGGCCGCCTCCGAGTCTGAGCAGGTCGGTTGCAGAGAAGCGACTTGAATAAACATCTTTCTTCTCCACTTCATTCCTCACCTGCAACAATATGAAAGATTTTCTAGCTGAAAGCATGGGTTTCTTTCAGTATTTCTCCTTCTCCCTTCCAGGTTACAGTGATACTTTTACAAGAGTAATAAATTCAATAAATAAATAAATTTTAGTAATTCCAGACAACTTGATTCTTTGTGTCTTAACTTTTTTTAAAAAAAACAACTTCTGGAAACCTTTTTGACAACTTACATCTCTTATCTGTCCTGATGTGGAAGAATACTGACCCTTTCCCTACTTCAAAGTTCCATCCCCCATCCAACTACACAAAAGGATACTTTTTAAAATGTTTAGCGAGTAAAGTTTAACCTTAATCAGTGCACGTATAAAACTGATAATTGGGAATATAATAAAAGCTAAGACAATATATAATGGAAATGAATTTCTTGCTGTATCTTGTCAAAAAGCCAACTTATTATGTAATCACAGTACAAATGTACCCTGGCAACTTACTTCTTCTGCAGTGTACCACCCCTGAGTGAGCCAGGCTTAAGTCATCTATACCTGTCTTAAGTTTTAAGATAGTGTTTTCCCACTTAGGCCAGCAGCAACCTACAGCAAGAACAAGGTAAGCATTTTGCTGACTGTTTTATTGATTATGTAGTTAGGTCACGGGTGTCAAACTCGATCACATCACATGACGTATTGTGACCTATCATGATGTTTTTTACCTTTGTGGAGCCGGGGTGGGAGTGGCCTGTGCATGACGCATCCAGCCCATGGGCCGCCAGTTTTAAGTTAGGTGATTGGAGAGGAAGAAGGACAATATGGCACCTATTGACCACTCCTATTCCCTAAGACCCTGGGCTTTCCCTGCTTGCACCTTCCTTCTTTCCCCTTCTCAGGTGAGATAGAAAAGCTACAGCCTACCAAACATAGCAACTGAGGGAGCAACCACAGATTTTGAGATAACAAACTTGGAAATGGAGTATTTATGAAAGATGGCTAAATTTACATGTCAGCCATCTAACAAAATCATCTGCAAATTCCAGATGTCCCACTAACTTGTGATGTTCAGAAAGGGGTGGACTGTAGAACCAGTGGGTTTAACTAATACAGAGGGTTCAATCCTCTACATACTCAAAAGCAGGATTCCATCATTTAGTGGCAAGCCAGAACAGATGGTATGGGGCAGGAAAGGGATTGGCAATGGCCCAGAAAGTTTTATGATATATTCAGCAAGCTACTGAGCCCCCTCTGCTGTCTTTTCCTGCTTTGTCAGTGAAATATGAACCATCCCAAATGACATGGAAGGCTGCATGTTCCGATGGGCTGTGAATTTGACATCATTCTTTTAATGGGGAAAGAGGCATTCTTTAGATATCCAGTTCAAGTCTTGGCAACCTAGCCAACCTGAAGTGTCTAAATATAGGTAAAAGGTTACACATTTTTGTTATTAGAAATACTGAATTTGGGAATTTGGGTCTTCAAATATTACTCAGTTATAGTTAGCATGGGCAATGATGAGGGGTATCAGCAGTTCTGGTTCAACAATATCTGGAGAGGCAGAGGTTCCCTGTCTCTGCCATAGCATATGTCACACAGTTATTAGCTGAATGAACAGCAAAAGAAGCATTCCTAAAATGTGAAATGAAAATTATACAGGTAGTCTTCAATTTACGACTGGTTACTTAGCGTCTCTTTGAAGTTATGATGGATCTCCCCCAAACCCATTTTCAAAGTTACAATGGCTGCCCCCTCATTATGTGACTGCATTTTGGGCACTAGGCAACTGGGTCACTTTTACAACTGTTTGCAGCACCTTGCAGTCATGTGACCATGATTTGCAACTTTTTTTTACCAGTTTCCAGTATTTATTTTCAATTTCTTGCAAAAATACCCACTGGGAAAAATCAATTTGCTTTACAACATCCATAACAAATGTCAAAAAATTGTGTCTCATCTGGTAATGTCTCAGCTAATGAGTGCAAGGACTTATGGTTGTAATTCCAGGTGAATTACAGTTGTTAGTCTAGGACAGGGGTGTTAAACTGCCAGCCCGTGGGCCGGATGCATCATGCTGAAACTGCGCCAAGCCCACCCCAGCGACACATCATGTAACATGGCAAGTTTGATACCCCTGGTCTAGGACTACCTGTACAGTATTCATCAACTTGAGAAATACCCTGCTACTTCTACCAGCTAGAAAGCCTGCAGTTGCTACCAGAACTAAATCGAGAAAAATGAAATGAAATTATCTTTGTATTCAAACAGATGTTAAATATTCTTTTATTTTTGACTTAAGCTAGTTTTGTAAATTACACAAAGTGTAATTACTATTAGGGTATCTGTCTTCTATAAATAGGAGATAAGAACAGGAACATAGCTCCTTAACAGTGACTGCTTTTCTCTCACATCCTCTACACCTCAGCCATACATTCAGAAAATTATATGTTAGAGATATTGTGTTACTACAGTCCTTTTCATTTACATAATCAAATACAATTCGTTTTTCCTATGCAAATATACATTTTGCAGAGAGGAACATTCAGATAGGTAAATTCTGAGTCTAAACCATATCCTGAAATGTGACAAAAATAAATTTACAATATGACTTCTGTTCTGGAGAATTATTACAAATGTTTTCATATTATGAAAATGTCCATGTTCATCTGAAGGATGCATTTCTATGCATCAAAGCCACCTGAAATTATAATGTATCCCTAATTTAATTCTGACTTTAGCCTAACCTTTAGTATCTGAATCTTTGCTCAGAAAAAATAGACCACATTTGATTGTTTAGCACTAAGCTAAAATATTAAGACTTATATTTCTGGGAAGGTAGGGGGACTTTACCTGACTGAGTTTTTCTGAAGTCTCAAAACTAAGTTTCATGTATGTAAATCTGAAGGATTATATATTTCCTAGCTTACTTTATGGGGAAAGATTATAATTGAACAATATTTATTAATTAAACTTATATGCTGCCAGATTCCCAATCACAGAATATATTTATATATATACACAGAGTATATATCTGTATAGCATAGTCCAATCAGTCAAGGTTTGATCAGTAATATACTGCATTTAAAAATTAAGGGGTCAAAATGAGAGTTTTGTATGAACCTTGGATTGCTATTACTGGATACATGAAGAAATAGTCTGGCATTTTGTCATATGCATATTTGACTAAAATAGGTACACAAGTTCCAAATAGATATTCCATCAATCTTTTACAAAGGTTCTGGTTAATTAATTTTTTCAATTGCCATTTCCCCCCCTAAATATATGGATCAAAAGTCTCAATGATATTGTATGCATTTTTTTCAACAGTATCCATGTAGTATTTATATCTGATGTTGGTATTATATGAACAGAAAATGATAAGGTAGTTCTTATTTGAGTTTTATATCGTAATTCATTCATAAATGAGATAAAATACTTAAAATCGATTTGCATTTTACCACATTCAAGGAGGTACCGCCATTTTATTAAACATTGTTTAAAAAGACATATAGTGACAATGTGGAGATGAAGAGATTTGTTGTGTTATAACCTTTGGGATTTGGGTGTACTTCATCAGATGCAAATACATCTTTTTGTCATCTTCCTTATTGGAATATAAAGGTAATATCACGGTCTTTGAGCAACATGTGTAATATTAAGAATTTTACAGAATTAGTTTAGTTTTCCATACTAAAAGTTGCCTAAATGACTCCAATTTTGAATTTCTTTACAATCTGATAAAGTAAGTTAGGATGAGAGGAAGCAAGTGGCCAAGTGAATACTGTTTTGAAGTTGAGCTGTCATATAGCCCTAGTCTACAGCTGAAACAATAGCGATGCATATAAGCACATATTTAGTGTATTAGCTGTGCACCCGGGATACTGTAGCAAAAACTCACTGTCAAGAATATCTGTCTATATGATACCATACAGCATATCATAAAAAAGATATTAATTAAAGATTGTGAAATAATGGTATAAAAGAATATTGTTCATAATAACAATACAGCAATAAAGGAAAAATACAGTACACTATTGGCAGCTACCTTGTTTCTTCTGAGCTCTGTTCCCTCACCCTAAATTTCTGCCTTCCAGCCAGAGACTAAATAATACAGTCAATGTATGCTAGTAATTTTGACCTGTTATTTAAGTTGCCCCAGGACTCCCTTCACACCCTCTGAAAATTAAGAGGGCGCAGGTTAAAGAAATTACCCAAAACGTGCTGCTCTACCAGCATCCAAGGCATGACTGATTCTTTAGCCTGTGGGAAGCCTGTAAATTCTGGCACGGTGTTTCCCAACCTTGGCAGCTTGACAAACGGGTGGACTTCAGCTCCTAGAATTCTGCGGTCAGCATTCTGAGAGTTGAAGCCCACACATGAGACTTGAAGTCCACACATCTCCACAACCGAGACTCGCCTAGTGTGGTAGTCTGCACATTCCGGCTTCTCGGTTTCGAAAGGCAGCGTGCGACAGGATTCTTATCTCTTCGTCTTATAACCCAAGTTGGCAGGGCTCCCTCTGAGCAGCGAGCTCCTGGCGGAGCTACGGTATAGGTTGCGGTGAGGCGCGGGGCGGAGGAAAGATATAAACGTGGCTGAGGGGTAGGTTAGGAGGCTTGGTTGAGTCTTCCTCAAAGAGGCTAAGCGAGAAGAGCGAGCAGGCTAAGAGGCAGCTCCTGGGAGAGCCGGCCGGGATGAATGCTGCGGCGTGGGCGCTGCTGGGCTGGATGCTGAGCAGAAAGAGCTTCCAGGGAGAAGCCCAGTTGGTAAGCGATGCCCAAAGTGCTTGGCGCCTTTTCTTCCCTGCGTTGGCTTCGAGCCTTGCCCCTCGCCTGCTGGGTAGCGGGCAGAAATTCGGGAGGCTTTGAAGAAAGCTCAGGCGCTTGAACGCCTGCCTGGGAAAGGTAGCTTTTAAATGGCCCGCCCCTTCCTCTGCTTTGGAGATATTTAGTTGCCACTCAGGGCTTTGGGAGAAACCCCTTGTGGTGGAAGGAGAGGGGCGGTTCTACAAAGTATGGCTTATCTAATTTGTGTCGGTTGAAATATCAGCAACAGTTCTATTATAATAGCATGCTTAGGGAAACTACTTTTAAAAAAGCCAAGAATTAATTAGTCACAGCCTGGTGCAAATAAACTTTTGAAAGACTTAATTCTGAAATTAGGAACTGTTTTTTAGTAGAAATGATGAGAGATTGGGGATGAAATGCTTTCTTGATGGACTTGTAAAAAAGCAAATAATTTCTGGGTTCAAATACATACGTTACAAAAATTTTTAAAGCTCAATATTCAGCTGAAAATAGTATTCTTGCTGGAGATATTATATATATGCCATATCTATAGCTAGCTGTAGATTAACTTCTTAACCCATTAGTTTGAGACCATACTTAGCTGACTGGTTAACATCCATTTTGCCAGTAATTGTTTTTTTTGTTAGGATTGAAAAATGATGAAGGTGAAAGAGGAATGAATCCATTTACCCAACAATGAACACCTTCGAGGACGGTGGAATACAAACACAATAATGTCAGCATTTCCAAATCTTTTTAGTACTCTAAAGCTGGCTCATTTATTCATTCATTGATTTCTATAGCTGTCCATCTCAATGACTCTGGGCAGTTTACAATTTTTCTAGAAAGTAACTATTATATTTTCTTTTCTTTTAACCCTGATTTTCTTTTTCGTTGCAGCCTATCAAATGCTATAAAGAAGATGGTATGTATAAATAAAATGTGTTTTTAAGGGTTAAAATTGTTAAAATTCTGTTGCAAGTATTGGACATTCATGCACCCCATTTCCATTGTAGGTAGTTTAAGATACAACGAATATATGAAGTCCTTGTGGTCTTTTTAATCAATGTGCATCTAAACAAGTATACTCATCATATGCCTGCTTAACTTTTGCCTTTCCTTGACTGATTAGGCCAGACGAAGGCCAGACAGAGGCCACAGATGACAATCAGTGTGTCACAGAAGGAGGAAAGAACTGAAGTCTCCAGCCTTAAGTCTGTTGTAAAGCCTCTTGTGTGAAGAACCCTCCTTTAGATTCCACTGAGTTGAATAATATCTGACCAGTTTGTCATTCCTAAAGATAATGGTTAACCTTCTCTGTTCCAAACTAAAGCAAACTAAAGCAATAATACTTAAAGAATGCAATGCTGTTGGTTAGTCTGTAAATAAATACTAGTGACTTTCTCAAGGGCGGTATAATGAGTAGACTTGAGACCGTGAATTCTTTTTAACATTATACTGTTATAGTATTTCTATTAATATTTCCAATTGTGAATAAGTAGCAGAAAAAGTGAATAAAGAAAACACAAGGGATTGGAAAGGAATGGCATGGCTTATACTTCCTAAAGGTATTGTTGAAATGCAGCAGATATATAAAATTATGCATAGGAAGGATGGCTTTGGATTTTGCATGAACTTTTTATGTACTTCAGGACTCCAAGATCACACTTCCATCATTTGATGGAAAAACAATTAAATTTCAGTGTAAAAATTTTGCACTTTGAAAAAATTAATGTCATCCCATTCCTGCTCATTTTCTGAATCAGCATGTATTCTGATGACAGTTTTAGCCATCATAAGAACTTGAGAAGAGAGTACAATAAGCAAATGATCTTGAAAATTACATTTCAAATTGTTTAGCATATGGAATTTTAATGATGACAGCAGGCTATGTTTCTCCAGGTTAAATTAGTACACATGCATTTTTGTGTGATTTTGATTCTTCTTACATTTTCTCCTTCAAGAAAGGTATGAAGTAAAATGGCTGCCAAAGTCTATCAAGAGATCTTTAATTCTAAATGTCTCACTTGGAGGAAGGTGTAGGATAATCAAAAAAGAGTCATACTGCAGCTGGACTCTTACTGGCAAACTCTCCAATCCAGCTCCTATAGATTCTGTAGCTATTGGCATTTCTGTACCCTTTCTAGAAGGATGGCCAAGGCAGAAGGAACTCCAGATGATGTGCCACCAGCATGGATTTTTCTGGGAATGAATGGTAGTGTTCAGAGAAGGAGGAGTATAAAGCATCCAAAGCTTCAAGACCTTGTAGGCTAGTTGGCTAGCCTAATAAACTGGAGGTTTTCACTGCAAATGTATTAACTCCTCACTTTCATTCTTTGCAAGGGCCTCATCCTGAGTTGGAACAAGAACATAGATTCACACCAGCAGATCTTTTTAATATCAGCATCAAGATTGTTGAAATACAAGGAATATGCAAATTTAACATAAGTTGGATCCTTAATGAAGATGGTAAATTTCATTTTTTATGTAACAGGCCTATAAATATTTTGTATTAAATATAACAAATACTTTGATATATAATAAATACTGCAGTGATCTCTTATAATGTGCCCTTTCTGCTCTGATTTTAAAGGGGAAGTAAACAATGTTGTGATTTTTTTTGGTGTCTGAAGGCTGTGGGCTTTGGATGGATCTGGGACTTTACCATCTTGGTAGTGGATAAGGTGGCACCACCCTATACAGACGTGGTGGACAATCTGGAGGTCCTTCTAAATTCACAATTCCTGTTCGAGGTTTAGGTGGCAGTTATGGCTGGGAGAACCTTTGTACAACTTCATTTTGTGTGCTAGTTGCACACTTTCCTGGATCATGAGACTGCTCACAGTTATACCCTGGTCACCTCCAGAGTAGATTGTTGTAACATGCTCTGCATGTGGCTGTCCTTTGAAGAGCATTTGGAAGTTTCAGTTGATGAATAGTGTGGCTCTACTCACAGTTATGTGTGCCCCTAGGATGGCACACATTATACATTTGCTCCATGAGCAGCAATTGTTTCCTGTCTGCTTCTGGGTGCAATTCAAGGTGCTGATTTTGACATATAAAGCCCTACATTGTATGTGATCAGGTTTCTTGAGGAACTGCCTTTTCCCAATTATGACTCTTTATCCCTTCAGTTCAGCAAGAGGTGTATGCTGTGGGTCATGCCTGCTAAGAAATTCTATCTGGTGGGACCCAGAAGATGTGCCTTCTCTGCTGCAGCTTTGCCCTCTAGAACAGAGGTCCCCTGGCACCAGGGACCAGTTCCGTGGAGAGAGGTTTTTCCGCGGACTGGAGGGGTTGTGGTTTTGAGTGCTGCCTGCATACCGCAAATGGGGCTTTGCTTATTTGTGTGGACCGGTTGCTGGCATGCCCGGCCCGGTATTGGTCCACACACTGGGGGTTAAGGACCCCTGCTCTAGAACATCACTCCCCCAAGGTGAGGTTGGCCCCATCCTGGTAGCCTTCCAGAAAGCCCTTAAAGTGTGTTTTCCCAAAAACCTTGGGGTACCCATGAGAAGCCTGCAAGGTGGTTATATGAAGTTATATGATTGTCTCAGACACTTGGCTTTTTCATGTTTTTAACATGAAAATTGGGGGGTGGGAGGATTAAAACAGTTTTCCTTTGCTATTATTCCTTTCTGTTTTCTGATTCCTGTCTGATTTGGATATGCAAAACACTTTGATTACTTCTAAAATCCAGCAGTAAGAGAACAAATATATATTTCAGTATTGGATACCATAAAGATAGATAAATAGGCTAGAATGCAGAGTTGACTCAAGGTAGTAAAGTAAACACAAATCTGCCATTGTTTGTCTTTGGGAGATCTGTAATAGTTGGAATAGCACTGTTACTGATAACATCTTGAAAACAAACTAGAATTCTTTGACAAAACAATTTTCTTGCAGCCAGTATACAATACTTGAAGGCAACCAAGATATGTGAATCCCGTGAAGGCTGTATTCGATGTGATTACCTAGAAGCATTTCAAAGTCAAACCATGTCTAAGCATAAAAAAGTAAGAACATTTTTTAAAAGTTGTGGTTTGCTGCTATTATATTGTATTGATAGAATATGGTCTTACTCAGTTTAGTAACCTAATGCAATAGTAAATTATTTCTTTTAAGATAACATGATAAGTTAGACTCTGTACAATAGAACAAAAATCTTCTGAACTGAAATGACAAAAACCTGGTTTTTATGTAAAATTATTGTGAGATGAAAATAAACTTCAGTGCTCCAAATGTGCTCAAAGCTTCTGTTCTGTAATATTTTTTTTGATAACTAGCTCTGGTTAATGGGTATTAAAATATCATAAAAATGGAAAGTCGACTCAGCTATTGAATTTCTGTTTTGTTTGAGTAAAAACACAATTATTCTGAACTTTTTGGTATATTAAAATTCTACTAAATCCTATGTTGGACAGTAAACAATAACGACCAGTAAATAAATAGTAACCCAAGATAAATTTTTAGGCAACTGAAGAAATCAAAATATTATATTGTATATATGTGCTTATTTAATGCTCACTCAAGTCAAAGGTTGAATGTTTACATATTTAGTTCACAGCATGTCAGATTACAAAAGCAACAGAAGAAATAAATCAAAATTATAAAGAACAATAGTACTAATAAATTAACCCTCCGCAAAATATATGCCAATTAAGGTTAGGATTGAGGGTCCAGTGAAATAAAACTGTCTTTAAAATTTATATAACATCCATGATAGAAGTAGCTTTATGGACCTCTAGAATGGAGAATTCTAAAGCATGGGGTTTGCCACACAAAAGGCTTGTCACCTTGTCCATGTCCTCTTTTCAGATGGAGGTAACACATTATTATGGTTGATTGCACAGTCAGCCAGATGTTTAGACTGGATTTGACATTTTTATCCACCTATTGAGTCTTTCTATAGGCAGATTTTGTTGTTTGATGGTATTGATGATGACGATGATGATTGTATTTTCATGAAACATATTTGAAAAGGGAAGAAGGGAAAAAAAGACAAAATAAGACAAAAAAGAAAAACAACTCAGAAAATAAATAGAGAATTTATGAGCAAGATAGGATATTTGTTAGATAAGAATTTTCAATATTTTATAAGTTTTCCATAAATGAAATAACATAATATCTTATACTGATTTTAAAAACTGCAGGTCGTCGTCAAAATCCAATTAATATATAAATATCGATGATAATCAGTGCACAATAAATCTCAAAGAATTATACTACAGTAATTTATATCTAAACACTGAAGGATAAATTCTTATTTAAGAGATTGTTAAAAATTAGAATACTATGGCTTTATTTTAAGAGAAATCCAAATTTTGGATGTGGTTCAAGCTGCTTCAGGTATGGATTTATAATTGAAAAATGACTGTCCATTTGAATTCTGTTTCAGTTTTATGATGGGGATACTTTTAACAAGCCTTCCCAAGATGTTTTGATCAAATAACAGATTTAATTCTGGCAAGGTAGTGCCTGATATAAACCAGATTTAGACCAACAAGCTGCATCATGTATGATTTTTGGAAGCAACTGATTCCTAATTTTTCTATCCTTGGTCAATAATTCTGCAGTTAGAAAATCCCATTAAACATTTTCAGGTGATATTGTCATCTTAGTATTTTATTAATGTACCAGATCCAATCAGTAGTGGAAAATGGAGTAAGTGAGGAGTACGCTTCTGATTTGCTTATATTTCTGAAAGAATATGGTTCAGAAAAAGGAAGTGGTTTAGTTCATATCCAGAATTATATAACCTTCAAATATATTTAATTACAGTGGCAATTCAACTTTGTTGGATTCTCTGTAGAAGAAAATACTAAGTACTTCATTGATGCTTACAACCTTCCACCAGCAAATATAGATCAAGATCATTCAAAAACACAGATGAATCTAACTTCTCCAGGTAACTGATTAAATAGTGTTGATTTATAAATTTTCATCTTTAAATAGCTTCTGTAATTTTAAGATGATATGTATATATAAATATATAAAAGTGTTACAAATATACTTTAAAGTAATGGGTCCAGCGAGCTTTGTTTGATAAATAGAACAAGCATGATATCTAATATATTGATTTAGAATGTGTTCATTTCTCTTCAATGGCTTATACTTTCATGCAGTTTTCCTAATCTTTATTTTAAAAGCTTTTTCTCGTAACTAGAATCAATTGATTCAGATATTATAAATGTTCATAATTTCTAATGCACAAACTCTTATTTAAATTCAGACTGTGAAGATAATAGTTTGAAATATTGCCAAAAATGTATAGAAAAAGGTAAGCAATTGTTTTAATTAATTCATTACACTAAGGGACATTAAAATTTATTATTAAACATATTTCAAGATACTAAATGCAATGGTAACCATAAACTATAAATCATAAATAAAATACCAGGGAATCCAGTGGCACCAAAAGGACGAAGATGCTACAGTAGTTAGTTAACTACAAAAGAACATTTAGTTATGTTACTTTTCCTGCCCATTTTAATTAATAGCCCTTAATGCATTTTTTGCATTTATGTAGAATAGCTTTGTAACCTGTTAGAACTGAAATCTATTCAAGGAAATTGTGCATCCCACTGGGATATGGTCATGGGTTTTCAATTCAGTTATTTTCTGACTGATGTAGCGTTGGCATACAAAATTGTCTCCTTGTAAGATTTCAACTAGAAGTTACTTAAAAAAAACAACCTCTTTTTTCTCCTATTTGCTGCTGTGCAGATAGTTACCAATACACAGTCTCTGGTTAATGCTGGTTGAGGAATTTGTTTGTTTGTGTATCTATTTAACATTTTTATAGTATGCCCAACTGAAAAAACTCTGAGAAGGTTACAAAAGGAAATCTGGGGCTGTCATCCTAACACAAGTGACAGGCACCAGGTTGGGTTTTTTTCTATTGACATTTTCCTTTTCTTAAATACCCTGTTTTCCTGAAAGTAAGACCTACCCTGAAAATAAGCCTAGCTTGATTTTTTGGGGTGGGCTTAATATAAGCCCTACCCCCAAAATAAACCCTAGTTTTGGGGTGAGGCACAGACCTAGAAATCAACCTAGGGCAGGGGTGGGGGTGTGGAGCTGCACACCTACTTACCTTGCAGCCAGGTCTCTCCTTGCCGGCCCACTTCTTCTGCGGTTTCCCCAAGCCTGCATTTCATAGTCAGAGGCCTTTCCGGAAGTCCATTGCAGCCGAGAACCAAGCTATGGATTTAATCCATAACTCGGTTCTGCAAGGCCTTTGCAGCTGACAACTGAGCTATGGATTGAATCCATAGCTCAGTTCTCGACTGCAATGCCCTTCTGGAAAGGCCTTTGACTGCGAAATGCAGGCCAGAGCTCCATTCTCAGCTGCAAAATGAAGCTGCTCCCTCGGCTGCAGAAGAAGTGGGCTGACTGGATGGAGCTGTTGGTATCAGAGGTGAGTGGAAACGACATCTCCCTCTGAAAATAAGACCTGGTACCTTTTTTGGAGGAAAAAAAAGACCAGGTCTTATTTTCAGGGAAACACAAGTAAGAGATCCTGGTTGTCTTACATAATTTAGTTGAGGTTAATTTCTTATCTTTTGGTGCTAGGAAACAGATTATTCCCCAGTTGTCCAGTCTGAAAATATCAGATTTACCATTTCACGCAACAATTGTCACCTAAAATTTACCTAGAAATTACTTGCAAAATGATTCTTCAGATAAAGGAATCACTTATTTAGTAATCATGGGATGATTTTGAAACACACAGTAAATACAATAAACAAATAAATTAAATATTTCTAAAACATATTATGAGAGCAGGAAAATGCTATATTAATCTCTTTAGAAAAAAATGTTGAAAAAGAAGTAATTTTTTAAAATGCCAGTTTTAAAGGACCAGTTTTTTAGGACATTCATTAATCATTTCTATAATTATTTCCATTTTTGTGTCCAGGATCTGCAAAGCAATGTGTGCTTTAAAGTAAAACAATGAAAACATCAGTCATGTTTTAATTTTTTTTTAAATTTCACAGGGAGTTTATGGAATCCACATATAACAATATGTAACAGGGAATTTGAACTAGAAGTGAATTTTACACCTAGTAACTTTTGTTCCAAATATAAAATCCATCTTTGTGACTCTGATGAATGCGATAATTCAATTCTTCATGTTGTGCCTAATACCAAGGTATATATATATATATATATATTCTTTAGCTATAAAACTAGGAATGAGTACGATGACTAATTGTCAAATTACATGACTAGGACTGATGAGATGACATCAGGTTGGATAAAGTAAAATTAAATGCTAAAGTCAAAATTAAATATTAGCTTTTGAAAAACATCATGCAATTACAAGCTAAACAGATAAGAAATAAAAAGTGCCATATTTCTTTTTTTAAAAAAAAATTAAACATTTTGAAAAGTTCTGTAATACATTTATCTGGAATTTTTCTTGGAATAGGGAAACAATATTAGAGTTTCTGAAAAAATAAGAATGAGTGATCAAGAAAGAAACTTAATATTTAAAGAGGTAAGATTTTATTTTTGTTTGTAAGGAAAATGTCAAATTAGAAGGACTCTATTACTGTTTCTGATCTGTGGCCCAAACACTGAAACACAAGTTACACCTGATGCTATCTGCCTCATCAATGTGTATGAGGGGGTAGTGATTCAAGTAAGTCATGCCAGTGCTCTCTTGCTGTAAGAGGTCATAGTTTAATGGACATTTTTTTTGGGGGGGGATAATCATATTGCAGGAAAAGAATCTTAATAAATGTTTTTTAAAGGTGATGACCCTAATATATATTTGTAAAAAACGGGAACTGTTTCTAAAAACAGCTCTGTTCTTGAATGCAATTTGTAATGTTTATCATGGATTTTTTTACAAGATAATGTGGAAGAATTTTAAGCAATTTAAGTATTACTTTTTTTAGCATAGGGCTCCTGAGCATAGCAAGAGTTTTAAGTATAGCAGTTATTAATTAGCAAGCTTTTAGTATAGCTTTACTTCTGTAGTTAGATTTCAAGAGGAAGTTAGGCAATTAGAACTAATGGAAAGTTGGAATTCGGCTTTTAAAAGGTATGACCTAGTATACAGAATCTATTTTAAACTTGTTATAATCAATCACATTTCTTGTTGCTTGATTATACCCTATTTCCTTCTATCAATGTCTTGCACATAAGATGTTACTAAAACTTATCATGTGTGCTTCGCCCGCTTTGTAAACCCATAAAAACTTCTTTACTGATTCTGAAATACTCTAGTTTCCTGTCTGAGGAGACAAAATGCACCTCATCTTGTCCCAGGGATACTAAGTTAGAAGAAAGAAAACTAACTTATAACTAATAAAAAGGTGGACCTAAATTTAGTAATTCTATCTTATAAATGTTTCTCCAACAATTTATGCTAATGGCAAATATTGTATAGCTAGCCATAATGGATTTAATTTTGATGGGACTTGCCCTTTTTATTTTTCAACTGGAAAAGTGCAGTGTGGATCTCTTTTCTACAATTGTATTCTCACCGCACCATTGTATTCACTGTTTTAAGGAATTTTCAATGCAAAATTAAGTATAAAAACAATACTGGAGCACTGTATTTAATAATAATTCCAGTGTTATTATTTTGTTTCTCTTCCAGCTAATTCCTTATTTTCCAGGATGTCAAAATGACTGCAAAAGATACTCATATTATCAAACAGTTTGCACCGAAGAACCTATCCCTGGTTAGTTGAGACTTTTAAATGTTTGTATATGGATGGAAATATTAAGGTAATTTTTTTAGTGTAAGCTTAAGATTGGCCAGTGAGATTATAAAGCTTGAAGGGATTTTATTGTGCTTAGGATTTTAGTATGTTTAAGTTTGACATTAGCATTTATTTTATATATAGTAACCATTTTATATTGATACTTATAGTGTTATCATGTAATCATTGCTTTGTTATTTTGTAATCATTATTTTGTAGTTAACTGCTTGATCAGATGCTTTATATATATATTGGAAAAGTAAGGGCTTCATGCTTTAGGTACAGGTGATTGTTTATATGAAAAGAACACAGTATGGGAGGGGGAAAAGTTGTTACAGGTGGAGCCTGGGTTGCTGTGTATGAGTCACATCTAAGAATTATTATTTTTTGTGCCTTTTTATGCCTGGTACCAAGACCTGATCTTTTTGTTCTGGAGAGGTATAAAAGGTGGAAGACATCTTTTCTGGTTGTTGCCTTCATTCCTCTACCAGCCACGAAGAGGAATAAGGCGGCCCCTTCTCTGTTTTGATCAAAATAAAGTTGTAATCTTTGTTGAAACCTCGGCTCAGGAGTTTCTTTGGCTCTTTTAAATTCCTGAGTAACGCTGGGGCAATTGTGAGGCTAAGTGGAAAACCTTACAGCCTCATTCAAGCAGCTTCAGACTGACTCTTAAGTTATAGAGTATTTTTTTTTTACAGGATTGTGAGAATAAAAGAATTTAGAGATAAGGAAAGGTACTACTTTAGTTGCTTTGAGCAATTTTAGAGGAGGATGAGATAAAATAGTAATCTTGGTGGATAAGTAATAGAGAATACAGAATAACAGAGTTGGAAGGGACCTTGGAGGTCTTCTAGTCCAACCCCCTGCTCAGTCAGGAAAAGTCAATTCACCTTTCTATATGCTCCCCAGAATGGTCTCTAAATTGCTTATTTAGTTATTTTGTTCTGTATCATTCAATTTAAGCCACATCATGATCACCTTTATCTTTGACTACTCAGTATTTTATCAGTTTCATGTCAGAAAAAAGAGAAAAAATGATGAAAGTAGGGTTTATATCAAGAGAAATGTATTTCTAGAATGAAGAAGATAAATTCAAATAATGAAGAAGATAAATTCAAATAATAACTGTGAAAAATGGTAATAATATGACGATCACAGAATCACTGGGCTGCAAGAAGCCTTGGAGGTCTTTTAGTCCAACCTCCTACTCAGTCAGGAAACCTTATACCATTTCAGACAAATGGTTGTCTAATCTCATCTTAAAAAAATTCAGTGTTGGTGCATTCACGGCTTCTGGAGGCAAGTTGTTCCACTGATTAATTGTTCTAACTGTCAGGAAGTTTCTCCTTAGTTCTAGGTTGGTTTTCTCCTTGAATAGTTTTCATCTGTTGCTTCTTGTTTGCTTTCAGGTACTTTGGAGAATAGCTTGACTCCCTCTTTGGCAACTCCTTAGATATTGGAACACTGCTATCATGTCACCCTTGTCCTTCTTTTCATTAAACTTGACCTAATTAATTCCAGAAACCGTTCTTTATATGATTTAGCCTCCAGTTCCTTATCAGTCAGGAGTCCCTGACATATTTGCAAGCAAGACATAAGATAACAAAGCACTCTCTTGAAATAGGCAGGCAGCCAAGACCCATAGTATGCAATTCATTGACAGCCCCCATATTGCCTGGGTCAGATTTTGAGGAGGAGATGGGGAGAGAGGCAAATATTATGTTGATGTGTTAACCATGAATAAAAACATCTTCATTCAGGTTTAGTGGGGGGGGGGGTTTGCTGAAAATATAGCAGATAGTTTGTGGTTATAAATATAATTGTACATGGTTAAGTCAAGCAATTTATGAATTCTCATTTTTTTTGCAGAACCAAAAGCTACAGACAGACCAGGTATTGGATAATGTTCTGTTCAATTTCAGCATTAGTATGTAATGCCAATCATTGTATAATGTAGTGATAATGAATACCTTTATCCCATGTATTTGCATAAGTGGCCTTTAAAAGAAGTTATAGAAACAGGAAGAATTTTCCAGGCAGATTTCAACATATACAGCATGTGAAAAAGTACCAGAAGGAACATATTGAGAAAGGCACATCAGGAAAACAATTCTTTCAATAAAAGATTATTTCCATGAGACAGTAACATTCTGATAGAAAAATGCCAGGGTTCATTAGAAAAGTGTCAAGGTGAGAATGGTCAAGGTTCAATGGAATAATTGAGTCTTACAGGTCTTGACTTACAGCCATTCATTTAATGATTTTTCAAAGTTTCAACAGCATTGAAAAAAGTGACTTATGACCAGTCCTTGCTCTTACGACCATAGCAGCATCCCTGTGGTCACGTAGTCAAAATTTGGGTAGTTGGAACCAGTACCCAAATATTCACCATGTTTTCTCTAAAATAAGACTGGGTCTTATATTAATTTTTGCTCCAAAAGATGCAGTAGGGCTTATTTTCCAGTTAGGGCTTATATTTGGGAAAATACGGTACTAAATGTGTCTGGATGACGATCTTAACTGAGGCTTATTTTTGGGGTAGGGCTTATATTGCGAGCGTCCTGAAAAGTCACGTTAGGGATATTTTCTGGTTGAGTCTTATTTTTGGGGAAACACAATATAACAGTTTCAGGGTCCCAGAGTCATATGATTGCCACTTGCAACTTTTCCAGAGGGCTTCCAACAAGCAAAGTCTATAAGGGAAGTCAAATTTGTTTAATTATCATAACAAGAGAAGTCATGAACAGATACAACTCATGACTGCATTGCTTAGCGACAGAAGTTCTGATCCCAATTGTGGTTATAAGTTGAGGAATACTTCTATTGGAAGTTATACAAGTTTATGGGAATCATATACTAAGCTACAAGAAGATGACAGCAGGAAAATTCACCTTTCTATATGCTCCCCAGAATGGTATCTAAATTGCTTATTTAGATATTTTGTTCTGTATCATTCAATTTAAACCACACCATGATAACCTTTATCTTTGGCTACTCAGTTTCATGTCAGAAAAAAAGAAAAAATGACGAGAGTGGGGTTTATATGAAGAGAAATTTATGTCTAGAACATTGTGAATGAGGAAGATAAATTCAAATGATAACTGTGAAAAAGGGTAATAATATGATGATCACAGAATCCCCGGGCTGCAAGGAGCCTTGGAGGTCTTCTAGTCCAAGCATTTGCCCAAAATCTTATACTATCCCGGATAATTGCTGTCCAATTTTTTCTTGAAAATCACCAGTGATGGAGTACTCATAACTCCGGGAAGCAAATTGTTCCATTAGTTAATTGTTGTTACTGTCAAGAAATTTGGACCTCTCTTTAATGAGCTTCCACCCATTGCTTCTTGTCCTGTGCTCAGGTGCTTTGGAGAATAGATCAACCCCCTCTTTTCTATGACAGCCACACAACTATTGCGTCACTCCTAATCCTTTTCTTTGTTAGGCTAAACATACATCATAGTTTGGCCTCCAGACCGCTTATCATCTTTGTGTAATGACATAAAGAGAATGAAGAATGAATATTCTTTGAAGAGAGGATGCGGTTACATGTTGGGGCGGAAGAGAGACCTGAAATCCCTTATCTTGATTATGACATAGAGACAGCAGTTAAAATGGTTTGTTAAGTGAACATACTGTATAGCAATTAATGACCAGCTTCTAAGAGATGGGCTAAGATCAGACCATGGAAAAAAATCCCCAAGGGAAAAATTATTGGTCTGCCTTAGTAACGGAGATTGCAAAACTGTCTTGAGAAGGAAAATTGCTGTTCCGGATGTTACAGACCCCAATAAACATAGAGAAGATTCCCAGGATGAGTTTTACTTATTGGCAAAGGAGTGTGGATGTGTGAGTGCATGGAGTTTCATTCTGGGAAGTGAGCAATGGAAGCTTAAACCCATATTTGGCTCTATGCATTCTAAAAGCAATAAGTCCTGGAAATATCATAAAGTCTTCTTCACGGTCCTTATTCTGACACAGGCAGGCTTTGGTTGCCAAAGAAAGACTTCCTTTGTGTGTCTCTGAGCATATGATAACCAGATATAATGACTCTGAATATGGAAACTCCATTTAGCCATTAGTTCTATATTGTGGCTGGCTACCATTTTAGTTATTGGTGGGCCTTTTTTCCTTTTATACCTTTTGTGTGAATGATTGTAATGGTGGTAGGATGAGCAACATATTTGTGGCCAGAGTCAATATTAACATTATGGGGAGGTTGGGAATTACAACATAGAGGGTAGATGTATCAAACAAGAAAGTGGGCTCAGTTCTTAGCAGAAGGTTTTGAGTTGTGTTTCTTAATGGCGATATTCCTATTTTCAGCTTTCACTATAGTATTTACCTATTTAGCCTGTCAAAATGTCTACCAATTGGCAGGTTTCAGCAATCATGGTTAGAAGACATCCAAAGGCAACAAAATGGACTGGGAAGCTTCAAGTTGACAATTCCTAATTTAAACTATGGTCAGAAGATTGTTTTATTAGTCTTGTGAATTTAGAGACTGAACCACCCACAACCATTTCCATTTCCCACTTCTCCTCATTTAAGCTCTAATGTCTCACCTCCATCTGTGCTGTATCACCCCTTGTATACACGAGAATGCATTTTACAATCATTTGAGAATTAGAAATGGCAATTGCTCATTTTTTATTAAGTTAATTTTAAACTTTTAAAAGAATCTTGCAATCTTACAAATTCATTTTCTTTCTCATTTAGATATGGGAAAAATATATGCTGGCCTATCCATCGCTTTACTTCTGATAGTGTGCATAGTTGCTGCTGTGCTTTATTTCAAGAGTAGGCATGGTAAGAGCTTACCTTATTCTATATTGTTTTGCTTATAGTTCCTCCTCTACCTTTTGTCCACAAATGAAGACTTAGAACATTGAAATGTTCTGTGTCATGAGGGGGAGTGGGAAAAAAGAAGTGTTCACTCTGAATCCAGATTTTTGCAGGATTTCAAAATACACATGTATTGTGTAACATTTACTGGGAAAATAGCAAGTCCTATGGCATCTCAAACACAAGTATATGCAAATAGTTTTGAGTATGGCATATATCTATGATTGGAAGGTAGGCAGATGAGAAAGAATGGAGAGAATTTTTTAAAAGATTAGAGCAAACATTGAACGGAAAAGATGCAGACAGTCAAAATTACTCAGAAAGCAGCTGCTACGGAAAGTGTTAAGATGCGGCATATGATAACAAACTTTATTTTTAATCTGTGAGAAATACTGTACCGTTAAGCCAGTGAATTCTAGTTTAGCAGTTTTTCCACAATGAAATGTTTTAAATGAAATAATTACAGGCATGAGGTCAATGACAATGTCCTAGAGCAGGGGCCACGACCCACTACCAGGCTGCGGTCCATTTGAAACATTGAGCTGCAGGCCGGCGCACACTTAGCACAGCTCAACTTAAACAAGTGGCAGGCCAGTGCACACCTGTGAGTGGTGGGCCAGCATGCACGCGTAGCTCAACTTGGGGACCACTGTCCTAGAGAATAGAAATATTCTACCAATGTATCTATTTTCAATGTTCGGTTGGTGTTGTGAGTCTAGAATCATTGGGTTTTGTGCATGAAAATGGGAAACATGTAAGATAATTTGGTGGTTAGTTTGTTTCCATTAAAAAGTGGAACTGATTAGTCTATTCATAGTAGTGCCTGGAAAATTACATTTATTGAAACAATTTCTTACTAAGCACTGATATTGATACTATTTTGCTAGGCTTCCTTCCTATGAGACAAGATGGTAAATTACTGTATAGCTAAGATAAGCAAGAAAATTGTAAGGACAAAATATAAACATTATTCTTTCAAACACAAAGTGCTTTTGAATGTACTGTTCATTTTGAAATATCTATTCTAAACATTGAGGTAGGTAAGTACAAAATGGTAGAGCTTGGTGATCACGTGCTATTGCAAATTTGGGGATGATAATTCTGATGTCTTGGAGGCTGCCTTTGTTGCGAATATATAACAAAAGTATAATGGGCTTAGGCTTCCATGATAATTTTGTTTTCTTTGAGATAGTTGATGTTTGATTGTAATTTTCCTCAGTTTATTGGCATACATTCCTAATTACAATGGTGGCCAAATGACAAAATATGTGCCGTGGTGTCACTGCATGTTCCACTCTTTCCTATGTGTCATGATGTTTGTCTTATACATTGCACTGATGTTTGCACTGATACATTTCCTTACTTGTTCCCCTCTTATGCAGATAGTCATGGAAGCATTGTATATTCAGCCTCAACACTTAGTGATAAAAGGTCTGAAAATCTGAAATGCAGCCTACATTACATTAAATTCCCACTATGATTGTGTGGATTCTTCAAATAGGGCATTTATAATGGCTCATCTTGTGTACCCTGGGCAGACAGAAAATGCTTTTAAATTAAAGGCAGTCCTTTCTCTTATATGCTTATTTTTTGGTAATCCTCAGAAGGATGAGAAGACAGATGTCTGAAAACATAGTGTTGAAGAGTTACCTTTCACTCTTCTATATATAGTTCAGCTGATCTATAACTGCTCTTCAAGTTACCTTTTAGGTACAATCCAAAGAATTAGCTAACTTGACTAAATCAATGCTTCTCCTAAGTGATTTGGCCTCATTAACCAAACTTTTGTTATTTTGTTTTTGAAAGAGGAATTTATCTGTACCATATTCATTATAATTCAGCATACTGTTGTTCCATAGGAAGGTTAAACTATGTTTGTAAGCTAAATTTGTTTTGAAAATATGTGCCATTGTATATTCCCAAGATAACAAATACTGTTTTTTCAGCTTACTTAAATTTCAACTTGCTTGCTCCAAGTTTTATTTTAACAGTGATGCTGTTTTTTTTTTTTAAACAGGTCCAGCAAGTAATCTGGCTCAATTCCATCCTATAACAGCGCAAACACCCATAACAATTCTTATTGTATATTCTCAAGAAGCCTGTTTACAGCATACCGTCCTAAGTTTTGCTGAATTTCTACAGGAATACTGTCAAAGTAATGTTATAATAGACCTGTGGCAAAAACGGAGAATTGCTGAAATAGGACCTGTGCAATGGCTTGCTACTCAGAAAGAAATTGCTGATAAAGTCATTTTTCTTTGCCCAACCCACTCAAGTGCTTCATGTGATTCAACCTGTAATAGCATTATAGAAAACCAGAAGGATTCTGAATGTATGTTCACTCTTGCATTACACTTCTTCTGCAGTGATTGGAAGATGGATTCTTCTCTTTGCAAATACATGGTAGTTTCTTTCAATGAAACCCATCCAGACCCAGTTCTCCCAAGCCCATTGAGCATCTGCCCAAACTATTTTTTAATGAAAGATATAGACTCTTTTTATAGAGACCTTTACGTTTTACAAAATCAGAGACATAAAGCTGCAAAGGAGAAGTGGAACTGGAAATTTAGGATTAGACCTGGATTGCAGGTATAGTATTAAAACAGGGATTGTTACTCTTTTTTCTCTTCTAACTGTAACAGTGAATTAATATTGTAAGTTGGAAATATTCATACATTTTGCATCCATAATACTTGTACACTATTTTTATACTTTTACTGCTTTAATATACAAAAATAACAAAAACAATACAAAAATTAAATATTGGTATAAAAGTTAATAAAAAAGGTAGAAACAGGGAATAGTAAAATGCATAAATAATTACTTTTAATCAATGGATTACACCATGATCACATGTAATAATATTAGTTTGTCCAGTATATTACTAGAAAGCCAATGCAAAGGTGGAAAGGAAGCAATTATCTCCAATCCAGAATTTTAAATCTAGTATAGAAACTTCATCACATTGGAGCAGCATAGAGGCCTAGAGTAGGGCTTTTCAACCTTTTCACCCATTGTACCACTTTTAGAATATGGCAACATCCAAGTACCACCAGTTGCCTAGCAAGGTGTGAAAAACTTGATGACCCCCCCCCAAAAAAGGAAAAAAGTGATAAAGTACAGGTAGTCGAAGTTACAATGGCACTGAAAAACGTGCCCCCCAAGCCACAGCTGAGCAAGACATCTGCCTGCCTGCCCGGCAGCGCTCTTCCTCCTGTCCGAGGTTTTCATTGTTGTGAGCATTTCTGTTGGGGATTGGCAGCAGGGGTGGGGTGGGGGGTGTTTGGTTTTTATTCCCCTGTCTGCTAGGTGGTTGCAGCAGGTTTTGGTCACTTCACATGACCCTGGGACACTGTGACCGTCATAAATATGAATCAGTTGCCAAGCATCTGGATGTAAATCACAAGACCCTGGAGATGCTGCAACATTCCAGCTGATCAGTGCTTCTTTAGGGCTCAGCAGAAGCACCAGGATCAGCGCCGAGCTCCAGCTGGAGCCTGATGCTGCTCCTGGCATTTCCACTGAGCCCTGACAGCCCTAAAGAAGCACTGATCAGCTGGAAAGCAGCACTGATCCTGGCACTTCCGCTGAGCCTTGACAGTCCTGAAGCTCCAGCCATCTCTCGCTCATGCTTATGCCGTGCTGCCACCGGTTCAGCTCATTCCCCTCCCCCGCTACCACTTTTCTAGGATGGTCGCCGGGTGCCAATGTACCACAGGTGGTACCCGTACCACTGGTTGAAAAGCCCTGGCCTAGAGGTGGAGCTCTCGCCTCACAGTCAAGAGGCTATGAGCTCAATCCTAGGTTGTGGTAGATATTTCTCTCTCTGGGTGCAAAGAAAAAATAACTGCTGTGAGCTTCGCATAGGCATCAGGAAGAACATCCAGCCAGTAAATGCTCAGCTCCATTCAGCTGCCCAGACTCTATTCCAATGCAAGGAATTACAGGATCATTAAAAGAAAAAAAAATACAAGCTTCATCCCATAGAAGTAAAACCAACTTTTTGGTTACACCATGCACAATAAATTGGTAAATGCCAGATGTTTGATGTACAGTTCAGCATGACATTCACATTCTGACTTTTTTTTCTGAATACTATATAAACAAATGTAGAAAAAATGATTCAAAACAAGACAGTGAGAAACTAGCCAAAAATACATTAAGGGTACTCCTCCTCCCATACTGCACTTTCAGATTACAGAATTGAAATTGACCTACAACCCTTAGCAAATTTACTGAGAACCCAATAAACATTTCAACTTTCGATCATAAGATATATAATGTTCTTTAAAATGCTGTTGATTTGCTCAAATGGGATATTCTAACTCCTTGTTCCATATTTCTCATCAATAGTGATGTCTAATTTAGACATTAGTTGTCTTTATAATTGAACTATACTTACAAATGAAATTTAGAATTATTCAGAACTATCCAATAAAATTATTTCCAAATTTCTGATACTATAGTGCCCCTATACTTAGGAAAGTGAACGGTAGCAATTTCATAACAGAGATGACTGCTAATTCATTTCCAGGGATTAAAAGGACTGCGTAGGTGATGACCAGGGAGGAGTCAAATGTATCATAAGTCGTGAGTCCTTGCATGTCTGCAAGAGATCTAATTCCAGCCCACCTTGAATGCTTTCTTAATTCCTGCTCATTTCCCTTGACTGTTAGTAGCTCAGATTCTTGTAGAGAGCTTGAGCTTGCAATATATTTTTATACTCATCTGAACTGCCTGAATTTCCTGATTCCCCCAGAGCTCGGCAAACTGGCAAGTATATTTAAATCATTGTACAGTTTGGGCCCATGATAGAAAGTATGTCCCTACTTCCTATGTCTGATGTGGATTTCTCAAGCATTTCATTTGTGCAATATAAAGCTTGATTATTATTGGTTCCTCTTCACAAGCTCTTGTACTGACTCATATGCTCTTGATTTGCTGGCAGCTAAATGTGTTGGCCAAACCCCAGATATGCATTGCTTCCGTCAAAACTTACAAATCATAGCTGTGATTTGTTTTGTTCTACTTTGTTATAGAATGTGACAGGAAAGAAGCTTCCCCGGCACTTGCTTTAAAAACTTAAACAGCCTTGAACTTAATGGAATGTGAACAACAAATTTAGACAAATACATTATTTTCCATTGGGGAAAGAGATTGCTCCCTCAGCCACATCAGTGTCACGTGCTAACAGGATTCAATGCTATTGCTCCTCTTGTGTAAAGTCTACATAAAACTGCAGGCTGAGGTAATTCATCAGTTCAGCAATCTATTATGCTGATAATAGATATATATCAACCCTAAACCAGCCAAATATGCTATTGATGTCCTGTCTCGGTGTGTGGATCTGGATGTGGAGAAACAACTCTGGTTTAATCCTGCAGAACCTGAGTGGCTATAGATTTTAGCATCCTCCAGCTCCATCTTTAATCTTGGATGGGGCAGTATTTAAATTTAGTGCCCAGTCTGAATGGTTTTCAACATACAACTTCTGCTTGAAGAGCATGAGGCCTTTGCACAGCTCCATCTTGTGCAGCACTTGGGCCTTTCAGACAGCCACTCATGCCTTTATCCCTTTGTGGCTTGACTTCTGAAATGTAGTCTACACTGCCCTTGAATACCACTGCCACAACACAGGTAATGATGGGCATGCCTTAGTATGTCCTTCACAAGCTGCACTGCTCTCTGGAATAAGATCCTACTTTCTTCAAAGATTTGTGTAACTCCTACTCTGATGGCATTCTCTCAAGACTTTGGATAGGGAAAATATAGTCCCCTTGTTGCATAGATTTTTGGAATTAGAGTGTGTTGTCTAAAGGTATTTTTAAAATATAGTTCATATTATATATTTGGTGGGTCAGTTTTTGTGTGAGAAAGAGATGATAGAAATATAATTGTGAGTTATCCAGAGTTGCCTTGAAGTCAATCAGAATCTAAATCTAATGAAATAAAGTGACTTGCGGATGCTTAGATAATGTGTGTTTAGTAGCCAGGAAGTTTTGAAAGCTGTAATCTCTTGTACCAATTCTGCCAACTGGCATTATTCCAATAGGTACCCAGGTCTGGTGCTCTGAATGTGTGCACATCTTGGCTGTATTTTTGATTTGGAGTTTTTTTTAAAAAACTGCTTTGTATTTTCTGTCACTAAGACTTCACTAAGATCATTATAAAATATTCAATGAGAATAGTGTTTTTCAAACTTGGCAATTTTAAGATGTGTAAACATCAACTCTCTAAATTCCATAGCCAGCATGGCTGTCTGGCTAGGGAATTCTGGAAACATGGCATGGCTGGTTCATGAATTCTGAGAGTTGAAGTCCACACATTTTAATGTTGCAAGTTTGAAAAACACTGGACTAGAGGAAAGGGTTTAGAGAAATCTTTAATAACATTATGCCTTATTTTTAAATGATTCCAGAGGAAACATAATTTAATCTGTTTAATTTATTTAAAACACAAAACTAGGGATCAGGGAAACATACTATTTCTAAATAATACTGGATCACCACACAAATGCAGCTCTTTCACGTAACATACGGACACCAAAGCGCTGCCATTCTTGTTGATAAATCCAGAGCTCCTGTGTTGTATCTAGGCAGGCTAGAACAGCACCACCTTTCCAAGCAATCAAACGTGGATCCATATCCTAATATTAATAAACAGATACAAAAATACCATACAATTAAAATTTAAACATGAACCCATGGCCGATTCCTTGAACCTTTACAAGTATGGCTAAATTCTAAAGGCTCTAAAAGAACAGATAGAACCAAGTTACTTTTGGGGGGGAAAACGTATTTTTATTTTGCTGACTACCCCAAAGTCTGTCATTGCTTCAATTGTCAAACAGATTCCAGTGAATGCATAGACCAATTCAACACCTATTACTATAATAAAACTGGTGCTACAATTAGAAATTATCTACAAGGAGTATGCACAGAAAATTTTGCCAATCCCAAGTGTACTTCTGTATTTACAACTGCCATGGGTATATAATTCTAGAAAGCCCTTGAATGGTGTAGTTGAGCACCATCTCAACCTATGCTCAGAGCAGTACTGTGAGTGAAGCATCCCTCTGAATGGAACAGAGAGCCTATTACTCATCTTCAAATGTGTTTGACTACTGCATAATTAATTCCCTTACATTATCTAGCGTTATCCAACCGCTCCCCTATTTGAAAATCTGCACAAATCCATACAAAGATACCTTTGGTCTTGTAATGACTTCTACATTTTCAACAACTCTTCTGAAAGAAGGAGGCATTTTGTTGAGAATTCTGTGTTGAAGAAATTCTTGAGCTTTGTGGAACATCAAGCCACCTCCAACTACAAGGATTGAACTGTACATTTTCTTTTTGGTATCATCTGATGCTAGAAAAGTGAACATGAAAGAACTGTAAATAAACTCTAACAAATAAATTGGAAAAATAAAATTAATACAATAATTGGAAAAATAAGTATTTTATATACACTGATGAAATCTACTATGACTAGCATAAATCTTGCCTGAAACAATTAGTATTACATATCACACAAAGTAATACAGTTTCCTTACCACAGCAGTCAATACTGTGCAGAATTGCTTTGTCAAGGCCTAAAGCTTTCCCTTCAAATTGAGATACAGCAGTTTTTCGGGACATGTGAGTTGTTAGCATTTCTTCAGATTCATTTCCACCAATAATGCAGTCACTATGAGAACTGCCTAAGTCCACTTCTGAAGGATAAACATTTTCAGCAACACTTGCAGATTGGCCTCGGAGATCTCCATCAAATCCACCCAACTTGGTCATGGATTTTCGGTCAGCTGTTGCTTTTGCAGACTGGGAAAAAAAAATAAGATTATTTTTCAATAAAATCCTGCCCATAACTCAAGCTGGAGAACACCTAAAAGCTCAGTGCTATTTCTGTTCCTCCAAGTTTACTTCCTAATAAGTCAGACCTAATTCTTAATGTAAAAGGCCCAAGAAACTGTATTTACTGCTGCAATTGACTCTCCCATCCAAAACCACAGGTATCTATACCATTGGATGAGAACTGACAACACACAATTGAAGTATTGTTTTGTAAATTATTTAATACTCTGCTGATTTTTATACATATATATCAAGATAGTCGACCACAAAAATCCAGAATAACATTAAAAAAATCTCAACAATTTCACAAGCTCTTTTATTCATCGATAAGAAGTTACTGTTGAAAACAAGGAAATACATGAGCTGCAAATGACTACAGATGTGGCTGCTAAAAACTAAAAGAATACAGAGAAGAGCAACAAAGATGATCAGGGGACTGAAGGCTAAAACAAAGGAAGAACGGTTGCAGGAATTGAGTATGTCTAGTTTAATGAAGAGAAGGACGGGGGACATGATAGCAGTGTTCCAATATCTCAGGGGCAGATACAGAGAAGAGGGAGTCAAGCTATTCTCCAAAGCACCTGAAGGCAGGCAAGAAACAATGGATGGAAACTAATCAAGGAGAGAACCAACTTAGAACTAAGGAGAAATTTCCTGACAGTTAGAACAATTAATCAGTGGAATGACTTGCCTCCAGAAGTTGTGGGTGCTCCAAAACTGGAAGTTTTAAAGAAGAGACTGGACAGCCATTTGTCTGAAATGGTGTAGGGTTTCCTGCTTGAGCAGGGATTCCAACTCTGTTATTCTATTCTGTTATTCTGTTAGATCTTGGAAATGATTAGCATTTGCCTAGTTGGGAAGATTTGTATAGAGCATGGCTGGCTCAGGAATTCTGGGAGTCGAAGTCCATAGGTCGTAAAGTTACCATAGTTGCCCACCCCTGGTTTAGTGAATAGTAAACCTTTTTCTAATAACTGAACAAGACTTTCCTTCCTTTTCGTTCTTTCCGTTAGTTACATTTTTCCCATCCTTTCACATCTAGTTATGGTACTAAAAGGAGGGGGGGAATGTGGTGGTGTCTATGGGGGGGGGTAATCAAAACAGATATGATGGAAGATGGAGCATGCCTTGTTGTCTATGAGTATATATGTGTGTATGTAGGTACGTAAAATCAATTTACCTAAAAAGTGATGGATCTGGCATCATATTACCATCTTGACTCCCCCACACTGGGTGAATGTGTGCATTTGTACCTCTATGTTTTTATATTATTAGGTATCTGTGAGGGGAAATCGTTGGTAGAAGTGGGTCATCAATAATTTTATATATAGGGGTACTTTGTTTTACAATTTAAATAATTCGATTAATATGAATGTGTAGGGTTTTTTATCCATATCCTTCCTTTTCTGTGTGGCTTCTGGCAGGGGTATACATACATAACAGTGTCTCATATATATTTTGGGGGGGCAAACTCAAGGATTGGTTTCTGCTAGAATTGGCAAGGTTAGGTTGATAAAACATACACTCTGATTGCAAAGAATGTTTATCTCTATCTTTTCCCCCCCCTGCCTATTCATTTTGGGGAGGCAATTTTAAATTTGGGATATTCTTTTTTGTAAACATGGTGTATTCTTCTTGCCTACACTGGATATCCCCAGTGTAGCCAATAACTACATCCATTCAACTCAATTCTATAACTTCCAAATAGGAATCCTATACATTGATTTTAGTTAAAAAAAAAACCTGAAAAAGAAGTATCTGGGTAATAAAAATAAATTAAAGTATCATAGTGATTATAGTTCAGGATAGTTAAATACTGTAAATGTACATGTAAGCATACAAGCACAATTACACATAAAGAGATTGTGCCAACTGTAATAGCTGTCTCTTGCCTTCTTTGGCATGATTGCAAGAACATCTAAAATGTCTACTTTGATTTTAAATTATGTGCAGTTTCTTATGACATCTGTGTATTAAACACTAGATAATCTTATAGATAGCTGAAGCAAGCAAGCTTTATAAACTACAATTATTAGCTGAAAAAGCACACTTAAGTTATAACCATCATATGTAGTTGAGACACCCTGATCTGACTGTATTCTTATCCTCATAATCTGATACCTTTCAGATCTGCTGGTCTATATTATCCTCAGTCAACATAGCAATGGGCACACAGAAACTTAGCTGGAGAATGCCAGAACAGGACAGGTCATATCAATAGAATTCATCTACCAGTTCTCTGGAAAGGAGGTGTTAAGTAAATAGAACGAGATACCGAGTTCATTGTATACAGGGGGGGAAAAATAAAAGGAGAAAGCCACGCACACACACCTGCTCTTGCTTACTTTGTGTAGCTAAGAGATAATGTTCATCATGGGGGTCCTCAGGATCACCTTGAGACCTGTGCTGCAAAACTATCATTTTCTGACCCACAATTCCAAAAGTTGCTGGATAAAATAGTGCCATTGGAGCCTAATTGTGAAAGATGTGAAGAATTTGAAATTATTGTAAATATCTATAGATTCATCTATCTTTGTTGCAGTTGGATTACAATTAAACAACCTATGATTAAATAATTTCTCTCAGCAGAATATATAGATCAAAATATTTAATATTTTTTAGTAAAAGGTGAAAGATTTATACAATCTGAGGAGAAACCAGAGTTTTCCCCTCTCTTCTCCTTCCCCTATTTTCCTACTATTTTCTTTTGTATTTTATATTATAAACTAATAAAAGAACTCTCAAAATGAAGTATTTATTTTTTTAGATTTACAGCCCACTTTTTGTACAGGAGCTCAAGATGGCATAAACTTTTATGTACCTCTACATATGTAGTAGAGGAATTATGTGGTAAACTGAAAGAATGCAAGACTAAGAATGTATGAATTACTGGCAATAGTTAACTGACTCAAAAGCTGAAGATATGGAGGAACTGAAACCACAGGATTATTTAGTCTGAATAAATATAGTAATGAAGGATACCATCAATCCTCCTTTTTGGTAGCCAGCAACCCCCCCTGTGTGCAAGCTATTTCCCCAAACAAAGAATACTGGACAAGAAGATCATTTTTTTCTAGTTAGTCAGAAGAGAGCTATGTTTCTATTACTTCCCAGGGAAGTTTATTTTAATGTTTTTCTAAAAATCCAATTATAGTTCTTGGCCAAATTACCTACAATTTAGATGGTAGGTAGCACACAGTTCACCATGGACTAGCATCCAATGTGATGTTGTTATCCTGGAATAATAAACAAGGGTACAGTAGTAGTTTCCAAGTTCCCACTGTTTCCCATCTTCGTAATATACAATGCTTGAACTAATGCAAAGCATTTTGATGGGACATTTCTAATAGAACTTTTTTTTAATTTAAAACTCAAAAGAAAAGAAATGTTCTGTTTCGTTCAAAGCACTATAAGGGATGTGTCTCACAGTCTTTTACCTGTAACTTTTCATCTCCTAAGCGCAACTGATACAACAAAGCTGGGGAATCTGGGTGACGGACTTGAAACTCATGATCTTTCAGTCCAGATAAATCCTAATAATAAAAGAAGGTATAAATATTTTATAGATTTAACTATGCATGCATACTCTGAAGTAACATACTGAAGTGTTACTGGGTTGTTGTTCATTTCGTGCCTTCAAGTCACAAAACTGGATTGCCTGGACAATTCCTTGTAGTTTGCTTGGCAAGATTTCAAAAGTGCTTTACCATTGCCTCTTTTCTAATGATTGGCCCAAAATCATCCAGCTGGCTTTGTTATCTATGGCAGCATTTCCTAACCTTTAGATCTTGGCAGCCCAACTTGGGGAGGGGCGAGAGAGGGGAACCGGGCCACATGAGTGGCATGCCAGCGCGTACACATGCGCAGCTTGCCTTGCATAAATGGCGGGCCAGCACGCGCATGTGTGCACGTGTGCAGATACGCTGCTTGTGCGGCCTGGTTCCAAATAGGCCACAGCCCGGGAATGGGCCACGGCCTGGAGGTTGTGAAACCCTTATCTAAGGGAAGTCTAGAACTTATGGTCTCCCATTTTTTAGTCTGATTCCTTAACCACTAAACCAAACTGGTTCTCTGAAGTTTAGCTTAAATGAATTCAACTCTCTCAAAAGTAACTCAGACATCATAGCCAGGTAAGTGAATAATTAGCTTTTGTCAAGTGTTTTTGTTAATAGTCAATGAAGTAAGGGTTGATGATTTATTAACCTGTGGAAAAACACCAGTAACAGATTTCTCAGGAAGCTAATCTAACAGCTTCCTGAGAAATCTATTACTGGTGGTTTTTCCACAGATTAATAGCTTAGCTAGTAATAGCCAAAGAAGATATTTTAAAAAAAACTTTATTAAAGAGTTCATCAAACTGTGAAAGGTTTTTTTCTGCGATGTAACTTTTGACAACATTAAACAAGTACATTAGCAACGATTTTGCAACTGGGACCCACCTTTCTTTCTTGACAGCAAACATATCTAAAACTCCTTCCTCTTATTTTCCCCACAAAACAACCCTGTGAGCTGGGTTGGGCATATAGAGAGTGACCAGCCCAAAGTCATCCAGCTGACTTTCCTGCCTAAGGCAGGACTAATCTCCTGGTTTCTTTTTTTTTTCCTTTTTACGACCCTGTAAATTCAGGGTAGAGTTAGGGTGACTGGATGGAGGTAAGAGTTTACTAGCTGGATGCCCTTCCTGACATCTAGGTAGAGTTTGCAGAAGATATTTTTTACTTTGTGCCCTAGGAGTGAAACATCTGCCACTACCTAGGATTGAACTCTCAACCTTCCAAATGGGAGGTGAGAGTCTTCACCACTAAGCCATCACAATTCTTACTTACTTCTCCCTTTTCAGTGTCATAAACTGTATACACATTAGCTTTATAAACTTCCAGATGTGTTCTCCATACATTTTAAAATGCCTCAGTCATAACAGACTCTAACCTAAAAAAATGCAAAGCCTGACAGTTTTAGATCTTACCTGGTCTAAATGGCAAAATGTTTCTTTTAAGTGTTGGAGAAGAAGACAGTCTGTCTTCTTAACTAGCTGGCAATCTCTATAAGGAAACCCAGCTCGCTGCATAAGCCAATAAAAACATCTTGATATGTCAGAGCCACCATATGTAAGACGTAACCTAAAAAAAGAGAAAAGACCACACACAGTTGCGAGAACATCAGCTTTTTCAGAAGAAGCTATTTAACTTGAAGAAAGTAATTTAAAAACATTCAGAAGAAATATTATAGCCATGATTATTAATCCAGTCATTTATTTGGTCCAATATGAACGTTGCTATACCCACATGGGGTACTAATCTTTGATTTTCCAACACAAAAGTTGCAGTGATTTTTAAGAATATTTTAGATTTTTTTTTTAAAAAAAGCTACTTAAAAGGGCCTTATAAAGTGCAGTTAGCCATTGACTTACGACCGTAGTTTAGTCCTGTAATTAAGAATGTAACTCACGAGGGTCATAAAGCGGGTCACCACATTACTGGATCTAATTTTATGTCCATTTTTGCCCAGTCGTTAAGCAAACCAATTGTTCACTAAGGTCTGGCTTTTGCCAGAAACCAGAAGTAAACACTGGATTCTGACAAAAATATAAACCACAGTTATGTGACACCAAGGCCCTGCAAATGCCCATAAATGCAGCTTGCTTGCCAAGCACCCAAAATGCAGTCAAATGACCACGGGGGGGGGGAGGGTCAATGTTGGAACTTCAGAATGGGATATTAGTAGTTTTGGGGAGGTTCACTGAAACTTCAAACAATCACTAAACAATTGGTTATAATTGAGGACTATTTGCACAGGATTCTTTGGCCTGGACAAAATGTTAAATTTTACTAAAAATTTTAAATGTATGTAAAATGTTTGCTCCCAACTTCTGATTGTTACCTGGTGTTATGATGTGAAACCCCATCTTCAACGCAGCAGATGCTTGTCTTCTGATCCCCCACATCAACAACACATGCACTGCCTAAACCACTTCCAAAAGTAGCACATACAGATTCTTGATGCACGATTATTCCTAAAAACAAAAGGATGCTGTAAATGCTATCTACTATTTCTATTGTACAAAGATAGCTTTGCATTTGTCATACACTACAGAACAATTTACAAATCCCATTTTATAAAACTCAATTTATGTGACAATTGTCAAAGAAATAAGAAATGTGCTTGATTCCACCTGTGTCTTTTGTCAATTGGTCAACTTATCCAGGAAATCTATCTGTGTTCCATGATTCTTTATTTCCCAACTAATCACTGTCATTTATATAAACTTTGTATCTCGTTAAAAAAGGATGGGTTGTTCTTTTCAGGCCTAAGACTGCATTTCTCCTCTATTCTTGGAAATAGATTTGAGAACTACATTCAAACTTTGGTGGCGGCAGGCACAATAAAGCTCTGCTAGTTTAAGGCTGAGGAGTAAAGCTTAGAATATAAAGCTCGCAGTGAGATAATCTAATCCAAGAAACAAGATGTAGATTTGCATGCCTCTTCCAGTTTCCAAGTCTGTGGTTACTTAAGACTCACCCACAAACAGAACTGGTTGGTTACAATATAGTACAGGGGTAATCAACCTTGGCTCTTTTATGACTCGTGGACTTCAACTCCCAGAATTCCTGAGCCAGCTAAGCTGGCTCAGGAATTCTGGGAATTGAAGTCCACGTGTCATAAAAGAGCCAAGGTTGACTATCCCTGACATAGTACAAGTTGCTTTTATGGCACAGCCCTGCTTTTCTGAAACCAGGGGATGGACTGCAAGGGAAAGCGAATCATATGCTTGACAAATAAAACTTTATAACTGGGAGGCAACTGGTGATTGTGCAATCATTCCCCTTATAAATCTTATAAAGTGTAGGAGAGAGAGACGGGCAAGCCAAGGGGAGGAGTCAAATCTGGACTTAGTCTAGAATCCTTATGTGGGCACAAGAGGGCAAAGTCCAACACATGCACACCCGAATGCTCTTCTTGAACCTTATCTAATCTTACCCACATGCAAACCTTCAATTCTGAGAAGATTGCTATATATAGGCTTGAGCAATAAAACAGCTAAATGAACTCTTCAACTCTTCAGTGGTTTCTTAAGAAACTACTACCCACCCTTTCCTGGAATATAGAAAATACTTCAGAACTTTTCTTTTTGGCAACATAAGTAAATAATAAAGGGAAGGCTCTATTAAAGTCAGTTAAAAAGGTTTACATTGCGTAGACATACTCTGGATAGGTTTAAATCAATACAATTCCATCTTTAGAGCCAGACTTGCATCTCAGTTTGGCAGCTGAAAATGATGGATTTATCACTAGATGGATGGATGCATGGCAAGAATCACAAAGATAATTCGAAGTCACAAAACAATTGTGATTGAAATGCATAAATTAAGATAATTTAAAACAATATGGTAGCAGATTATAGTAATTTATTACCTGAAAAGCCCATTTTCAGGAGAATCATATTTACTATTTCTTTCACATGCTGCTTATTATAGATGTCTGGAATTAGTAAAATACATCTGTAATACTAAACAAGAGAAGGGAAAAAAAGAAGACAGCATCATGAGACAGAATGACCAATGCCATGGGACAATTAAATAATAACAGGCAGATGAAATAAGTTTATTGTTTTGGTAAATGTTAATGTCAGCATTTAAATAAATAAAATAATTTAGATAACCATGAAATGGTCGGTCTAGTTCAGGGATAAGCAACCTTGGCTCTTTTATGACTCGTGGACTTCAACTCTCAGAATTCCTGAGCCAGCCATGCTGGCTCAGGAATTCTGGGAATTGAAGTCCACGAGTCATAAAAGAGCCAAGGTTGCCTACCCCTGGTCTAGTTGGTGATGATGGGGGGTTGGGGGGTGGAGATCCAGCTGGCAGCCTCTCCTTTGTGGGATACTGCAGGGCTCAGTATCCTCTCTTCTTCTGTTTAACATCTACATGAAGTCACTAGGTGCGATCATCCAACTGTTTGGGAGCAGCTATCATCAATATGCTAATGATATTCAGCTTTAAACCTCCCCAACCTATTGGCTGCCTGAATTACATCCTGGAGGTTCTCTCATTGCCCCGAGTCTGTCAAGGCCAGACAGGGCACAATAGGCTTTAGTTCAGGGGTGCCAAACTCACAACATCACGTGACGTGTTGCGACATATCATGACTTTTTTGCCACTGCTGGCAATGGGGTGGGCGCGGTTTCGCTATGATGTATCTGGCCCGTGGGCTGGCAGTTTGACACCCCTGCTTTAGTTCAACTCAAGCAAGATGGTGCTTGGCTGCTATGTGTTTATTTTTCTATTGTGTATTCTGTATATTCTCTACTTTATTTATTTTATGGTAAGCCACTTAAGAGTTATATATGTGAAATGGGAGGCTATAGATATCAAATAACTAAATTATCATTATAGATAATCTTGAGGATGAGCTAATATGTAAGAAAGTGATGCCAATGAACATGGTATATGTCTTCAGAGTATATTAATGGTAGTAATAATGGTAGAAAGTTGACTGTCATTGTTACATTCACTTGACATTAATCATTGTTCACCTTCAAATCCTTCAGAGATATTTCTAGATATTTCTGAATTGCATGCGACCATATGACCTCAAGATCAGCAAGGACTGCAGTAAGGGAACCCCCAGGTCCTAAGTGAAGGTTCAGCTGTCCCCGCCGAATAGGCCAATGAACACTGTAACAGTCCAGAGGATTAATATATAATGCCTGAAAAGGATAAAAAGAAACAAGCAAAACATAGTTTCTATTAATTAGGAACAGTTTTAATTCTGCTGACGGTGTTATCCTATGTAATATTAACATTACATTATATTTTAATATTTTACTGTGTAAGGATTTATTTATTATTATATTTATTCACCACCCATCTCTCACCTGCAGCTCTAAATATAAATAAAACATTTCATGCAAAATGTGATCACAAATATTTGGAATTTCCACATATCCTACTAGCCTAAATATGGTATACTGTCAAAATGCAGCTGCAGAGGATGTGGGAAGGAGCCATAGTCAATATGGATTGAAACCACAATATTATGTAGCTATCTGGACATGTTCCATTCCTCTGATCAACTTTCTCTCCTTTGTGGCATATCATCTTTTTCTCTTTCTTTGTGCTTACTTGAAATGAAATTAAGTCTAAAATCACATCCACCGTCAAACTATAATGTGGCTACCTACCCTTTTTTTTTTTTTAAAAAAAAATTACAGGTAGTCCTTGACTTACAACAGTTCATCTAGTGACTGTTCAAAGTTACAACAGTGATGAAAAAAATGACTTATGACCGTTTTTCACACTTAAGACCATTGCAGCATCCCCATGATCAAAATTCAGATGCTTATCAACTGGTTCATATTTATGACATTTACAACGTCCCGGGAGTCACATGGTCAGCTTTTGTGACCTTCTGACAAGCAAAGTCAATGGGGAAGCCAGATTCACTTAATAACCATGTTACTAAGTTAACAACTGCGGTGATTCACTTAACAACTGTGGCAAGAAAGGTCGTAAAATGGGACAAAATTCACTTAACAAATGTTTCACTTAGCAACATAAATTTTGGACTCGGTTGTGGTTGTAACTTGAGGACTACCTGTACTTTGTTTTTTTAATTGGAGAGAGAACAGAGAGGAATACACTATATAGCGCTATAAGTCACTAGCGGTATAAGTTACAATGACCAGAGAAGCAGAAAGAAAAATGAATCAGAACTGAAAGAATAAAGAAGTAAAAAAACCCCACATACATAGAAACTTCACGAAGGTTCCCCCCAAAAGGCAGAACAGAGTAGGAAGTAAATGAGAAAGGCAGTGCTAAAACTGGGGAAAAGCATATTTTTTTATGGCATGATCTCTGCCTGTCCTTAATGGAGGGGAAAATTAACAACTCTTGGATGACAATGGTCAAAAAACCAATCAGAATTAATGAATATTGATCTTGAAATTCTTTGACAAATATCACTGTTGTGCCGCATCACATTTGTCTCCAAAAGGTTGTTTCAGAAAGTGAATGCTGCATGTGTCTGCCATGCAGCAGGGTTTTTTTTTCTTTAGATAGACATACTGGAATAAAGGTATTTATTTCAAATTATGGTTTTGGAGAACATTACTAGATCAAGCAACTTATTCAGGATATAATGCAGATCAACTGCCCCCTTGAGGCAACAACTGGTAAGCAGAAATTTACATACTTTGTGAATGTGGTGTTTGTAGATGATCGAAGAAGAAATGAATTATGCTTGAGAGAAATAGAAGAAACCAAAGACAACTGACAGGATGGATGAAAATGATCATAGGGACGTTCTTGAAAGAACTATAGAATCTCACTGAAGACAAATTGGAATCATTTATCCTTACTGGAGCAGGAATTGGCTTCTAAGCAAAGGCAATTTATGAATGCATCAAGTCAAAATAGACTCTTAAAAGTTGCATACAGTTTAACAACTTTTAAAGCAAAATTACACACGTAACTTTAGTGTAGTGGAGAAAAAAAAAAGCCCTACCTCTTCACCAACAACATATTCTGGGTGATGAGTAGTATTTGTCCATTTTGCCCCAGAGTTGTGATCTAAAATAGCAGGTCTTATTTGTCTGTTGTATGATCGGATCTAGAATAAACATTGAAATCACTCAAAAATGAAATGTCATGCTATAGACAAAAAATAATCTTTACTTTAAGAATGCAGGGCTGTTCAGTTGAAATCCAAAGTCATGCATATTCCTAAATATTGTCCATTGTCCTTGAAAACAATCCTGACAGTGCAATTAACCCAAACTTTGGTGAACCATGCTATTAGTATTAACTACAGTTTATAAATAAGATACCTGATCAGGTGATATAGGTGTACGTCTGGCACCATTTGACATCTTCTTAGACCATATTGCTTGGTCAACCATTTTAAGCCCATTTTGTCTTTGTTCAGTACTTTCTGGTTTCTAAATAAAATCAATCAGTAATTCAGATTGCTTCCAAACCTAGAACTAATTATTTTGTATTAGTATTTCAGAAACTAATATACAAACAACAATCTATTACTTTAAAAAAAACTATATCATTATATAAAAACTCAAACTTTCACATTTTGTATTTCATTATATCCTCCACAAAACAGCTAGTAAATTGATACTTAGGCTAAAAAAGCAGGCAACAATTGACTGTCATTTTTCAATTGTTAAATTGAAATTTAAAAATCTGTTGATTTATAGATTTGGCAACTATAAGCAAGAATGGTGATCTCTCCCAGGTAAAGGAGGCCTTACTAGATGAAGAGGGACTAGTGATCATGTGGCCAGAACCAACCCCTCCAGCTAAAGATAGTGAAGATGGACTGGGCAACATTAGGGTTAGTTAGACTAACCTTTGTTTGTCATTCTGGGACTGCCTGAGCCACCATAACAATTGCTGGAATGACCTGAGCCAAATGTTTTCCAGATGTGCCTGCTTCTGCTCTATAGCAAGGCTGAGACTTTGGGGTTGTGTGATGAAGAAAGAATTTGAGATTAACTCTTTAAATGTATCCTCTTCTGTCCGTAATCAAACTAACTACTGCATCACATTTCATTATCCACACAGGCCATCCTAGCATACTGACTGCTGTCAATCCCACCTCAATCATCTGGAGAGATAGGAAAGTCCCAAAACTATGACAGAAGAATGGTAATAAAGGATATCCTTTCATTCTGTTCACTTCCCCTATCTTGGTGAACCATCCCTACCCTCATCAAAATTGTGTGTCTGGGAACCTGGGAAGGCTTTCTCAGTGGTATTCGGTAGGAACCCCTGATTTTTGTGATAATATTATAGACATTACACCTGCTGGGTCTGATGTAGCAAAGGCCTCTAATTTAATATGGAGGAAATTCCTTTTGAATAAAATTATTGTTTCGGCAGTCAGTTGGAGGGTTTAGATATATATTGGTAATTAGATTAATACTACAGACTCCTGCAGCCCTGACTCATCTAGTAAGGTGAAGATCACTATGGAACCTAGCCATATTGAATTCCAATCATCAATCTGTTGATCCTTACCCAGTCCATGCCTAGCAATATAATTTCCCCTCCAGGAGAGGAAGGTTTGCATTCTCCATTTGTGGAAACTAGAATCTGATGTTTTTCTGCTAGTGGTAACAACTGAGGAGATACTACCAAAGTTTTACATGGGTAGTAGTCTGTGACAATATGACTCTTATGGTCTAAGTTCAGAGCTTTTCTTAAAGCAGAAATACTATTATTGACAAAATATATCCTGCACCCAAAGAATAAAAAGCATGGATCCCAAATGTAGAAACCGGATAATGTAACAAAACTTTAGCTTTCATCAATTTGGAAAACATACAGATAATCTATTTATATCCTATTGATGATGGTAATTCAATAAAAGCCATTTGTATTCCCCCAAAGAGCCTGCAGAGTAGAATAAGTCTTAAACCATCTCTTGCCTTATTTATTAGGCACAGTGCACAAGTAGAAATCACAGCCATAGATACTAAAGGATTGGAAAACCGCACAAATTTAGCATACTAGAACAAGCCATGAAAATAATATATTTCATATAAGCAACAACTGATTCAGTTTCATGTAAGACCCAAATATTGAAGACTTACATTGAGTCCTTCTCTTAGAAGCCAACTGTCTTTGTATGAGATTTGTCCTTGTTGTTTATGTCTTCTTGCAATGATGTGAGGGATGCTAACAGGAAGTGTATCTGTGGCTCTTCCAATCCTTAAAGTCATTGAGCCAGGATGTATCACAATAATGAAGTTGCTCTGGATTTGCTAAAAATAATAAAATAATAATCCTCATTTTATCTGAAAACAATTTTCTGTGATATAAATCAAGTTTATTCCATTGTAAGCTACCCTAGGTTTTTGAGTTATGCAGTTTTATTGCAGACTTACTTTATATCAATAAAAAGTTTTTCACTTAAGAGCAATGAAAACGTATATTATATTTGCATACTTCCTTATTCAAATCTAAGTAAAAGTAATACATGTATGCCTAAATATGGGAAAGTAGAAGAGCAGATTGATACTTATGCAGAGTTATCTAGAAATGACTATACTTGATAGATTTTACTTTTGAATAGTCTTACATTATCATATTGCAAACAGTTAAGTACACAGATTTAACATGATGTCCCCAATCTGATAATTCCAAAGAGAATATTAAACAGTGGAGGAAATAAATATTTTTTAAATTTTCTTGTGTGAGGGTCTCCATGCAATATTCACATACAAGAGAGATTATGTATATAGTATTTTAATACTTGATCTCAGTGGAGTTTATTCTTACTAAATATCATTACACAAGAGACACATTTGAGCAAATGCTATAGCTTAGATAGTACAGGTAGTCCTTGACTCACAACTGAGCCCAACATTTCCGTTGCTAAGCAAGACAGTTGTTAAATGAGTTTTGTCCCATTTTACCTTTATTGCCACAGTTATGTGAATCCCTGCAGTTGTTAAGTTAGTAACATGGTTGTTAAGTGAATCTGACTTCTTCACTGACCTTGTTTGTCAGAATGTTACAAAAGGTGATCACTTGACACTGCAATTGTCATAAAGTCATAAGTCACTTTTTTCAGTGCTATTGTAACTTTGAATGGTCACTAAATGAATGGTTGCAAGTCAAGGACTACCTGTATCACTTCAAGCTACAAGTATGGCCACAAAATAAATCAAATGTACAAGACACCTATAAATACAGTGACCATATATCTTCTGTTATAAAGGAACAGTCCTTTATCTTAGAAAGCTACCTTTAGATTTATTTTCTTGGTTTTGGTCTTGAATTTTCCTTTGTAAAACAAAGTTATAAACAAACTTTTTTAAAATCCTTCAGATCTTTCAGATTTTATCCTTTTTCATGTTTCGCCTTTTTCAAGAAAATATGGTCACCACACTTATAAATGAAATAGAAAAAAATACCCTGCATAGAGGAGGAGGGGAAGCATACAGTGGTACAACAACATTAAGTTAAAGCCTACTCTTCCTGACTCATTCTACATGAGATATATATAGAATAGAATAGAGCTGGAAGGGACATTGGAAGTCTTCTAGTCCAGCCCCCCGCTTAAGCAGAACCTATACCACCTCAGACAAGTGACTGTCTAGCCCAGACATGTCAAACTTGCAACATCACGTGATGTCGCGCAACGTATCGGGATGGTTTTGTCATTGCTGGCAATGGGGTGGGCGCAGCTTCCGGATGATGCGTCCTGATCTAGCCTCTTAAAAATCTCCAGTGTTGGAGAGTCCACAACTTCTGGTTAATTGTCCTCATTGTCAGGAAGTTTCTTCTTAATTCTAGGTTGCTTCTCTCTTTGTTCAGTTTCCAACCATTGTTTCTTGTCCTGCCCTCTGGTGCTTTGGAGAATAACGAGACCCCCTCATCTTTGTGGCAGTCCCTGAAATACTGGAATACTGCTATCATGTCTCCCGTTTCTTCTTTTCTTTAGACTAGCCAAACCCAAGTCCTGCAGCTGTTTTTTTTTATGTTTTAGTCTCCAGGCCTTTGATAATCTTAGTTGCTCTTCTCTGAATTTTTTCCAAACTCTCAACATCTTTTTTGTGATGTGGTGACCAAAACTGGCTGCAGTATTCCAGGTGTGGTCTTATTAGGGTTTTATAAAGTGGTACTAATACTTAGTGTGATCTTGATTCTATGCCTCTGTTTATACAACCTAGGATTGCATTAGCTCTTTTGGCTGCTGCTGCAAACTGCTGGTTCATAGAAGTAATGATCCACTAGGACTCTAAGGTCTCTCCCTGTTTTTGAGCCAGGTCTCACCCAATCTGTACTTACTTATACCTTTGATTTTTCCTGCCTAAATGTAAAACTTTGCTTTTCTCCACATTGAAACTCATTTTGTTGGACAGGGCCCATTGTTCAAGTTTGTCAAGATCTTTTTGGATCCTGAGTTTGTCTTCTGGGGTGTTGGGGTATTTTTAAAGAAACGCTCAAATCTAGATTACCAACGTGAACGCCTATAGAAAGCACTCATTTCTGCAACTAAACTAAACTAAGGAGAATACTTGATCAAACGGAACTCAAGTCCTGATAGCTACACGGACGCATGCACTCTTGAGGCAGTCCACGCTACTTCCGGGTTGATGCTTGGCTTCCCATGCTTAGTTGAGCCCCAGAGATCTTCCGGGTGGCCTCCTAGGACAATACAACCGTGTGTGTGTGTGGGGGGGGGAAGGTAGGTAGGTAGGCAAACGTGTGTATGTGGTGTGTGTGTGTGTGTGTGTGTGTGTGTGTGTGTGTGTGTGTGTGTGTGTGTGTGCGTGCGTGCGTCTAGCTGCCGGGGCAACAGAAAAAGCAGGCCTGAATTATCAAGCGCCTGCCGAGAAAGCTTCCCACATCGCTGGAGGCTTCCTGCTCGCTGTCTCGGTGGAGGCGAGACCGGCTGCGAAGCCTCGGCGTTGGAAAGGGCCCGGGGATGGCGCGGTTGAACCCGACTCTTGCGCGCCGGCCGCAGGGCTTACCTCTTGCAACGAGTCGGGGACGGCGGCGGGGACGATGGGTCTCTTGGCGCCGCGCTGCTCCTTCTCCTTGTCGCGCTCTTTGTCTTTCCCGTTCTCTGCGGCCGCCGCAGCGGCAGCAGTTTCCCCCTTCTCCGCCTGGGTCATCTTCTCTCTCGGCCGAGCGATGGGCCGGCCGGGACTCCTCCTCCGGGGGGAAGCGGCGGCGAGAGCAGGCACCCGCCCCTGCCTCACCCGCGAGGTGGGCTGGAAGAGCGGGACCGCGGTTCCTCCGGGGGATCGGAACGATCCCGGGATGGTTTTGTCTCCGGGTGACGGAGAAAGGAGCCGTCGATCACGGCCGGCTTTTTTTTTTTTAAAGGACCTTGGTGCGCCGCGAAATAGCGAAAGCTGCTCAGAGGGGCGGCCCTTCTGTTGCCGGATGCACAACAGCATCCACGTCCAAAGAGTGCATTATTTTAAAAGTGGGTGAAGCTACAACCCAGCTTGACAAAAGGTGAAATTGGTGACTTTTGTCACCTGCAAGGCTTAAGTAAACCGTTGGGCCTCTGAAATGAAAAATAAAACAAACGCTTAGTCTTTTTTACTTTTGGGGAGGCCCAAAACTGGGTTCATTAGTGGTCCACAGAGATTGTAATAAAGTATAATCAGATTTCACTCGGCTTTGCCTTAGTTCAGTATTGCTTAACCTTGGTCACTTGAAGCTGTGTGAACTTCAACTCCCTGAATTCCTTAATATTGGCTGGGGAACTCAGGCAGTTGAAGTCCACAAGCTTTAAATGGCCAAGGTTGAGAAGCACAATCTTAGCAGATAGTGTGAACTCAGCTGCTGAAGTTAAGTGAAATGGATTTTTAAGTAGGAGCTTGCACCATAATGCCAAATTGTTTGGTTTCAAACCAAACTGCAGCATCCTGGAGGTTCTGCTGAACTGTCATTACTGGTACCTAGCATAACCCATCAGATAAATTGCTCCCTGCATTCCTAGCACCTCCGTTTCATCACTTTCAGTGTCCCAATGCAGCAAATCTTTGGTTGGCCTGTCTTTTCTTGCCCACCCACCAATTTTCCCAGTTCCTCCCCTCAGTTTTTTTCACTTTCTCCATTTCCCCTCCCACCCAGATCTGTTTCATGATTACAAAATGTTGTTACAGGTATAATTAAAACTTTTATCCATGTTAATTCTGTGCATGAAATGGCTTATGAACAGAAAATTTGAGACATCCCTATTCACAAATTCCTGAATTTTGGGGTTTTTTGGTATTTCAGCCAAGATAGTTTTTTAAAATAATAGGAACCAGCTGTGAGCAAATAATGTAGTTTCTGCCTTTAGAAAAATACGCAATTTTTCTTGGAAGTTTTAAGGGGGAAAAAAATCCGTTGTTCTTTTGTTGAGTCATTATTTCAAGCCAGTCATCTCTCTTATTGCTAAAATGCCCATCACACCTACCAGGTTCCCTGCTTCACTTTTTAATGCCACAGGAAAAAAAAAAACCAAAGAATTCCTGAAAGAATGGCATCTATACCCTTACCTCTATCATCATATTTAAAAGAGAAGAGAAAAATTATAAGATCTTTGTTGAAATTTATTAAAGTTTCCTAAGGCTGTACAACACATATGAAAGAAATGTTTTACAAATGCACTAACATAGCAAAGCTCATTTCTTAAAGCAGAAAAAACAGCTGTCTCCTTTGGAAAGCCTGGTAGGTTGCTTTCGTGGTTGACCAGCTGTGTACTGTATTCGTATGCAGACATTTCCATTGGGACTGCTGGCACAGCTGTACCTTCACCCACATGTGCAAACAGCCAGAGACAATCTTTGGAACAGCTATCTCAAGGATGTACTGTACCTACGACTTCAGCACTTCAGTGGCAGGGGGCACCAGTCTTATTTTTGCTACTATATTTTGCAAAGTACTCTTTAAATGTTTTATCCAGCCCCTTTAATGGTCCCTTTTAAAATCAGGCTTATATCACTTTTAAATATAGGTAATCATTATGCAATACTACTATATTCCATCACTTGCCAGCAGCATCCTTTTCTATATATCCAATCAACTTCCAAACACTCAGTCATGTACAATATTCAGTATAAAAAAGAGCAATATACAGAAGCTGGCAGAAAAATACAGAAAAATCTCAGAATATACTACTCTGTTAAAGAAACTTACTTAAGAAATAATTTTTTTAGAAGGGAGATTCCAGCATGAAATTGAATTAAATTGTCCCAGAAAACCCTTTAGACCTTCACCCATATAATGGTGTTTATAGATGAACTGGACTTTGACTCCCATACATAAACGGAACGACACTTAAGGGGAACTGAGTTGGAGTCAAAAACTCTTGGATAGCATTAGGTTTTGCAAATAAGTAGAGTTACTGGGATTTAATGTGAGGATTTAACGAGCATGATAAATGTATTTTTATTTATAAATTTGTATACATAAATTGTAGTAAGGTCAGCTTTTACATTTGGGATTTAACATGGCAATTGAGAGGTCAAAATGAAACAGATCATAAACTACAAGGAACACAGATAATGGGTGTAGTTTATGGGGAAAAACAATGGGAATTATAGTTCTGAAATAGCTAGATGTCCATAGATGGTTTGCTGACTTTAAGCCATAATCAATTAGTGTTCAAAACACAAGACACTATTTCCCTTAAAAAAAATAACCGAGATACCTGGAGGAGTGGTGGTGGCTGGGGCGGATTAAATTAGATTAAAAAAAATAATTTGAATTTGTAATAATCTCATCAAAAGCATTTTAAGGTATATGGGGGGGGGGAATGTTAGAAGTAGTTCAAGCTTGTATAGTTTCTTCCTGATCTTAACATACATATTCTGAGATTATCCTTCTTTAAGTCTCCATGTGCATAATTTTTCAATTCTAAAATATATTTATAACAATTAAATGATTCCAACTCAATATTTTGCAAAGTCATATATTTCCATAACTTTACAACTACCACAAAATATCCCATCAGCTATACAAAAGGCTTAAAACAGATAGTAAACAGGTGCGTTTAATTTAATAGAACTGCACTTCAGTTACACTGGATCCTAGAAAATGGAATTCCCAGTACAACTTCATTGTTCTGTGGATTCACAGAGCAGTCAAATCACTTAGACAACACATTTGCAATCTTCAGACCCCTTTGCTGCATTCTTGATCAGGTTCTTCTAGTTGTGCAAATATGTAGTCTTATGCCTGCTTCTTAACGCAGGCATTTACCTATGGAGAAAGAAAAGACAAATTGATTAAAGTACTTGTTGTTGTTTTTTTCATAGTTACTGGTAGCTGTTATCTAATAAAATATTTCCAGAACCTGAAAAAGCCATTTTAAACTTACTTTACTTTATATAGAAGTACACATTCTACATCCTTTCTGATAAATCTATTTTGAAAGTCTTTCAGATATGATTTATGATCGTAAACTTTCAAAGGAGATAAACAATCACATTGATCTTACACACTTCTAAGTAGAATATTAGTGCTAACTGAAATATACTTAAATTGTATCTCCAATGTTATTTGACATACAACTGAGTATTAGGGTATTCAACGTGATTAGCTATGCTACTGTAATAGAATACTAAAAATTTCCATAATGGAAGAAGTCTAATAAATGGTTCTGATATAAGATTCTCTTTGCCCTCCTTCCCATAAAACAGTTGCTCAAATGTAAATTGATATGAGAGATTTTTTTAAAAAGTAGCTTGTTGTCTAAATAAATTGACTGGATTAGGATTAAACATTAATAACAATTAAACATTGTTATTTCTGGTAACTCTTAATGGGCTTTTACAGATGTTATTTCTATTAATAGACTTTCTGCTGACCAGGATTGAATGACAAAGTTCTGTTTATAGATAAAAGATGAGATGTAGAATGAAGATAGTTTGTTGTATTTTTTAGAGAAAATGATAGGTAAAAAAATATTTATGCTTGTGACAAAAGCGGAAGTTACTTTCTTTTCTATTTCTTTTTCTTTGCTATATTTTTGCTCTTTTCTATTTTTCCTTTTTTTTTCTCTGTAGTTTCTATTTTTTTCTTTTTCTTTTACTTTTTGTAATGTGTATTAGTTTTTATCTATATAACTAATCTTTACAATTCTAAAAAAAGAAAAGTGCGTACATTACATTCTCTCATCAAACTGTTGCTCAAATGCAAGTTCATTTAAAACTAAATTGATGTTTCTTTGATCGTCACAGATAAACATTGCATGATAGCAATTTAAAACAGGATTAAAGATTAACCTTCATTTTAGAACAGTGTTGTTTACTGAAGAGCTTTAAGTACATCCGAAATACTGTCTTTTTCTAACAAGGCTAATATATAATTCGGTGAACATCATAGCACTCAGTGCTTGCCAGTGTACCTGCGGTATATTTCTACATATTCTCAAAAGTATATAATTTAGAGTGGCCCAAATCGGGAAACTGCAGCAGGGGATGGTTGGAGAATGAAAGGGAGTACCAAACAATTCTTTGTCAATTTATTTTATTGAAGGTAGTCCTTGTTTAGTGACCACTATTGGGACCACTATTAAGCAAAGCAGTTGTTAAGTGAAACTGCAACTCTGCTCATGATCTTACTTCAGCTTTTCTTTGCTTTACAGATCCGTGAAGAAGACAAATTCAAGGATTGGTTGCAAAGTTACTTTTTATCACCATGATAACTACGAATGGCCACTATATGAGACAGTCGCTAAACAAGGACTACCTATACTAGGAAACATAGGCTATTATACATATAAGATAGATCCATTCCCACTTTTCCTAATCTCAAATCTGATTTTATATAATATACATTTTTGAATAAGGATAAAAATGAAACAGAAAAGCTCATCCACTTGGTCTATAAGTATTTAAAATCCTGCAAGATTTTTCTAGTAACATTAAGTATTATGATTTTTCTGAGTTGAATTCAATGTGACTTTTGGGCAAAGCATCTTAAGAAGAAAAAGATGGGCTACCTTCCTCATCCGCCCCCAGCCATTGGTGGGGGACTTGGACCTCCAAAGTGGGTTATTCGACCCATTCTACGACGAGGAAATCCTGGAGGTCTAAGAGAAACAAAGATCAATTTAAAAAGCAGTAATTCTCACTTCTGTGGCCACATTTGGGCATCACAGTAATGTAGATTGAAAACTGATTTAATGTGAACAAAGTATATAGTCATTTGTACTATTCACCTGTTAACATGTATGATTATATTTGGATAACCCCATCTGTAACATATTTTGAATTAGACAAGAACAGAGATTTCTTTTCCAAAACGGAATAAACCCAAATAACTCATGATTTATAACTAATTCATTAGAAAATAAATTTCAAAAATCAGAATTAAGTA